CGTACATTTAATTTTGATATTTCTCTTGTCTTAGTTTGGACAATTAGTAATTTTATCATCTTATAATTTTTTCTCATATTTCTTTTATGAATCACCATTTACACATCACTTTCTGCACTATCAAATTACTCTCATTTTTTATCAGTCAGTCCATCAAAATTTTAAAATAAAAATTTTATTTTAAAAATAACTCGGATCATATATTTCTTACCTCAACACTCGTCTCGTATAATTTTAATAGCAAATGTATTTTTATTATTAGATATAAAATATCACAAAATATGACAACAAAAATAGAAGTAGTCAGAATACAAAAAGAAAAAATATTTGTCCACATTGTTCGTACAGTATATAAAAAAAGATGAGCCAAACCAAAGTACTCCCAATCAAAACATTTCTTCAAATCTCATGCCAATTCGTGGTTTGGTATTGTACCATGCTCTTCTCCTCCTCCTCATCCCACAAATCCCCAAAATCCAAAAGCTTGCAGGGTACAACTCCCCACAGCATAATCATTCCTCAATAAATTAATCACCCACAAAAAAATATCAAATAAAATAAAAAAATAATAATAATGGAAAGCACGGACTCGTCGGCCGAGCCCCCCAAACCTCACCTACCGCCGGGCTTCCGATTCCACCCGACCGACGAGGAGCTCGTCGTTCACTACCTCAAGAAGAAGGCGGCCGCCGCCCCTCTTCCGGTGGCCATTATTGCCGAGGTCGACCTCTACAAATTCGATCCATGGGAACTTCCTGGTAAATAATAATAATAATAATAATAATAATAATAATAATAATAATAATAATAATAATAATAATAATAATAATAATTAAATATCACTTATCTTTTTTCACTGAATTTGAGTATCGTCAGATTTATTGATCATGTATGAGAAATATTAAGATCAAATAATTTGATATTCCTGTCTTTCCAGTGAGGTAATTTTTAAGATGTGTTCTGTAGATGTTTGAATTTTTTATTGTTTGATTGATGGTATTTTTTTTTTTTCTTTTTATGAGAAATATTAAGATGATCAGATAATTAGACATCACTATCTTTCTATTGAGATAGTTTTGCAGTTACTTTCGAGGTGTCGAAAGAGTCTCAAATGCTGGGCTCCGAATGGGCCCGGCTATACCTAAGGGCCGGTACACATGATTCGGCCAGACCCGGCAAATTAAAATAAGTAAATCAACTTTCACCCGCCTTCCGACCTGGAACTAGCCTAGAACCGGTTGGTCAAAAAAGAAAAATTGAAAACCCGGAACCGGCCCTTAAGGGCTAAGGGTCCGGTTAAATCTAGGCTGGTTCTAGGCCGGGTCACCAAGTCGGTTCGACCCTTAGTCATGTCTAAGTTACTTTAGTAATAGTATTTTGTATGACGAAAATTTGAGATGAAAGAAATAATTAAATATATCGTCGTCTTTTCCGTGTGGGAATTTTAAAATTTGTTCTGTAATATTTGAATTTAGATGGATTAAGTAGATTTTTAAAGTATAACTACTGCTAATTTTAGCAATTGAATTTAATCAAATTTATTGATCATATCATATTGTGTACGAACAAATAATTAAATAACACTATTCTATTTTACTTTTTTTTGGCAGCAAAGGCGATATTCGGAGAGCAAGAGTGGTACTTCTTCAGCCCAAGGGACCGGAAGTACCCGAACGGGGCCCGGCCCAATCGGGCTGCCACATCGGGCTATTGGAAGGCCACGGGCACCGACAAGCCCGTCCTGACGGCTGGCGGGACCCAAAAGGTTGGCGTCAAGAAGGCCCTGGTTTTTTACGGTGGCAAGCCGCCCAAAGGCATCAAGACCAATTGGATCATGCATGAGTACAGGCTAGCGGACCACAAGGCCCAAACAAATAGGCCCCCTGGCTATGGGGGCGCCAAAAAGGGCTCGCTAAGGGTAAATTCGTCAATCAATTATTAATTAACACCGCCTTTTATTATTGCTTGCCATATTCAAATCAGTTGGTCTTGTATTCGATCCACATACTATTTTTTTATAAATAAATGTACACAAATAGAAGTATGACAATTGACAAGTATAAATATGCAATTTTGTTCAAATAGTATGACGGGCCGATCAGCCTAACTGTTAGTCTGCCTCGTACAAGAATTTGTGCTTGAGAACTAATTCTAACATTTACTAGTTGATATTATTCATCCATTGTGATTGATTGTTTGATGTTGTATTTGTTTGTTTGTTTAGCTTGATAAATAGAAGCATGAGAATTGATAAGTATAAGTATGGAATTTTGTTCAGATATTATGATGAGGCAACCTGCCTAACGGTTAATATGCCTCACACAAGAATTGATTAAAATATTTACTAGTTAATATTATTCAGTCTTATGTGATTGATTGTCAGATTTTGTATCTGTTTGTTTGTTTAGTTGGATGATTGGGTTTTGTGCCGGATATACAAGAAGAACAACACGGCACAGAGGCCATTGGATCACGAGACGAGCGATGTGGTGGGTCTCGGTTCAATCCCGGGTCTCAAGCTGCCGACAAACTACGGCCCGTTTGTAGAAATCGAGCACGATTTCTACGATCAACGACAAGAAGGGATGATGGGCAATGAAGCCAACGCCCATTTGTGCTCGTCGGGCGCAAAGGCACAACCGCCACCTTTGCAATTCCCCTTCATGTCCGCCGACCCCACCTCCCTAGCCGGCAAGCGGACGGTGCATAGTTTGTATTGGGAAGGGGACGAAAATGGGAACTCGATTTCTCCACGGACAAAGAGGCTAATTACCGCGGAAAATTGCGCGAACGGTCCAATGGTCGACATTCTAAGTCAACTCCCTCAAGGCCCTAGTTTGCCGTCACAAGTGGTGATCGAGAATAATATTGGGGACGGGGTCCTTCGCCAGCCTTACCAAGTTTCGGGCATGAATTGGTACAACTGACGAGCGGTTTGTTATAAATTGGCGTTTCATCTCGTAATTCGAGTGTTCTAAATACACTCGGAATACGAGATGGTGTAATGTTTGACAATTGGGGAGATATATATGGACTGTGTTTTCTTGATGGATATGGGGATATTTGAGGTTTTTGATGGTATAGGGAAGAGTATTGATACATGAATTTTCTTTAGATTTAAGGGTTTTAGGATAGATGAGGGAGTATATATGCATGTATGATTGATGTATAAACTCTGTACCTTTACTCATTGTATATGAGAGCTTTGTAGAAAATATTTATATTGTAATGATCTCTGTTAGCTAATTATATAATTATGGAAAATTTAACTTTTCTGATCATTGGGAATGAAATAGATTATTAATTTCAATACTGTTAATTTTCTGCTAGTTATGGTCATTGAATTTTTCACCATTTGATTAAACATGCATGAATATGTGAGTGTATTCATCCAACGATAAAAAAAAGACTCGATAATTGCAGACTCGATAATTGCATCAGATAAGCCGAACAATCCAATTTTTGTAGTATATATATAAAAGACGTGGTTCAAATGAAAACCAAGTTCTAATGTGAGAGCCGTGGAAACCCATATTTCTAATCTATTTTTAATTGTATGTAGGGTCAGCGAACCCTAATCGAAATATACCTCGTTCTTACTAAATACTTTATATTAAAAAATAATAATATTATTTCTATAAATTTTTATTTTATGATTATTTGGACAACATTTTTTATGATTGTAAATTCACATGTCAAGTGCAGCAATCTGATTTTCTGATCACACTTTTAACGTTAATAATCCAAACTTTGAACAATTTTCTTTTTAGTTAGTGATAGCCACAACATAAGCATGAAGTTGACAACTTTGCAACTTTTAAGCACTTCTTAGGCAAATTTGCAAAAAGAAGAAATTTAAAGGGCACCAAAAAACGGTTTTAAATATCTTGAATATTTTGGCTTAAATTAATGTCACAAATTGACAGCAAACAAATTTTCTGGTCAGCAATTATGACCAATGAAAAAAAAAATAAATTATAACTCAAATTAAATATGCTGATTGATGCTTATTAGGGTTTTGTATTTTATTAAATTAGTAACGGGAGATTCTACTGTCTCGTTACGGAACTATTTCGTCGGGGTTTGTAACTGTTAGATCAACTATCCACGACGGTTACGTGATGATCTAACGGTTACAAATCCCGATGGATTAATGGTTCCGTAACAGGACTGTAGAATTTTATATTAGTAATTCGATAGGTATTACTTGGTAATCAAGTAATAAGTAAGGTTTTAATAAAAAAAATAAAATTATTTAATTAAGATTTTAACTTGCAATGAAATAATAAAAAAAAAAATCAAAAGCAATCAAATTAATTTTCTAATAAATAAAATGCAATAATTCAATATTTTAGTTTCCATTATGTAACAGCTTAATATGCACCTTCTCAATAAAAGCATCCACCACAAACATCTATTTTTTGCTTAATTCTCATGCAAAGTAAGCTAGACAAGCCAAAAATATATAGCTTCAATTCTGTCATGAAGAAAGTGTTATTCAAGATTATTAGGAAAAATATTGTTACAAAAGAAAAATAAAATAAAATAAAATAAAATAAAATTGATAGTGCCTTTATCTTAATTTGTCCTAATTATGACAGCTATCATATCTCTATTATCACCAAATTAAATTAATTTTTCTTGATTTAATCTTAAATGTAGAAAATAAATTTTACATATATATATATATTCTTGTGTGGATGTCATTTTCTTCTCTATGTTTGATAAGACAAAGCTACCCAAAGTATATTAAATTAGAACCACAACAATTAGTTCTTAGCACTTAATTTGACAACAAACAAGATGCCTATAGCTACTACACTAAGAATACTTTGCAAATGGCTTTTATTTCATTTTTTTTTTTTTCTCTTTTGATTACATTTTGGGGACCATTTCATTAAACCACAAGAAATTATTTTAGGGTTAATTAACCAAGTTCCCCTTTTAAGGGAAGTGCACAAAACAACTTTAGTATGATAAATCACAAATTTCGTTTTGAGACAGCTTAAAGATTAGGCGGGTCGACTCGTCGTACATTTTAGTGGAGTTGGAAAACGAGTTTAATAAG